AATCCACAAGATCAGAGGTTGGCAGACAAAGAAAATAGAGAAGGTCAGAGGGTCAGATTCCTTGAAGGAATCTGACCACAAGTCAAAGTTCAAAGTTGATGGATAAACTACCGTAATCAGCCACTAGACGATATTCAGTTGTCCCTTTGGCGTAGCTTGTGTACTTAAAAACCCACTATTTAAGCTTTGTCTTGAGTCAGTTGTGGGCTCCCTTTTTCTACTTCATTCTTTTCACACGCAAGTGTTGAATGTAATCACTGTGATAGTGCCAGGTTGCTCCAGTTGGAGCGAAGTTTGCCCTATTAAGGAAAAGTTTTGATATAAGTGTGCGTTACAAAGGGACATCTACCATTTGCACCATACCGAGACACGATCTTACAAGAAGTATAAAGATCAAAGTATAAATATATTTCTTACACGCAAGCCGGGAAATTACGCAAGGGAAAGTTCGCAATGGCACAGAGTTGATAACTCGTGCCAAAGTCCAAATGACTAGAGCTCTAAATAGTGGCCTAGCATTTGAGGAAAGTTCGTTAAAGGTTATTCGAGATTTGGAGGTTGAAAATAACCCCGGAAAAATTGAAAAACTGCTAACGCAGTCAGATACTGACGTAGCGAAGATGAATAACTACAAGGAAAGAGTAGATGAAATTCGAGATAGAAATTTCGAAATTTCACCGGAAGAAGTTGAAGAATGGGAGAATCCTTGAGAGGGAAAGATGAGGATTAGGAAAAGTTACTGACCTAACGCTTAATTTGGAATTGGCTATGAAGCAAGCTCGTGAAAAATTCGAAGAAGTCAACAAAGTTATGGTGGTCAATGATGTCACGATTGGACAGCCAAGTGCGAAGGGACATCCAATGCCCCTCATCAATTGCAGCAAATGCAAGCGATAATTGATCAGGCGATGCGAGAGGAGGAATGGCTCAACTTCAACGAGGTTACTTTCCGTTAAACATACCCGATTTTGATGGTAGCCAATGAAAGTTGGCATAACTGGTGGAAAATTTTGACAAATATGTTCACTTGACGCTTCAGGATGATTTAGTAAGTTAAATGTCCTTACACAAACATGTAGAGGCAAAGCTGCTAGATTCATCAAGAACGCTAGCAAAAACGTCAACTTTCACCAGTTTTGCAAAAGCTCAACAGAATGAAGCTAGAAAGTGCATCTTCTGCAAGAAACAACCACAAATCAAAGGATTGGCGTGAAATGTCAAGGATGGATCTTCAACGTATTATGGAATGCGTGAGGACAGTAAGAGTGTGCGCCATATGCTTTGAGGAGGGCACTGCAACTGCCGACACGCGAGGTGCCAGAAATGCCAAGGACAACACCACACAAACACGTGCAGGAAATCAGGTCCCAATTTTGGTAATAGAGTTAATACATTTAGGCAAACACAGCTAGTAATTTAAGTCGTCTACAAGTTCAAGAAAATTTGAATAATGGATATGTTCAACTGCCGCAACAGGATATTTTGCTCAAAATTCACAAATGGACTGCGGTTCGGAGTTTTTCTGTGCCATCAAAGAGGAGCCAGCAAGTGATCCAGCCAAAAATTCAACAGCAAACAGCATCAATAAGGCCTCGAAAAGTTGAACTCAAATTCCAAGTTTACTATGTTATAACAGTTCCCAAATTAATCGGAAAGTTCGACTCACAAGTATGTTACAAATTGTTGCCAAGAATGAGGGATTATCAAATCAATGAGAGTGCAAACATTTTATTGGACAGGTTCAACGGATAGTTTTATTACAAAAAGATTCGTACAAAAATTAAACTTACAAGTTTCCACAACCAAAGATTTAAAGATCAGAACAGCTATTGGAGCGGTAAGTTCAATTCACACGAAATGTTACAAAGTTTTATCGCAAAACAAGAAAGCTTTCGACAAAAACCTACCTGACGCCTTCATTCTCGACGTGATGGAGTTGCCCAGTCTTCCACCAGCAAACATTCAGAACAACCATCAGAAGAAAATTTCTGGGACCTTGAAAGAATTGGCATCAATGAATCGCCTGAAGCAAAAGCGGCTGAATAGGAACAGCAGGAAGTTGTGGAAAGATTCAAAAAGGAGGTGAAAATTATCAACGGAAAAGTTCACGTTAAATTTCCATGGATCGAGCAAAATCCACGAATCAATGACAACTTCAAATTGGTAATGCAATACCTGCACAGCTTGACTAAACAACTAAAGAGAAACTGAGCTACTGGCAAAGTACAGTGAAGAACTCAAGAAGCAAATGGAGCAAGGAATTTTGGAGGAAGCACCTAGAGAGATGAACGAACACAAATGTCGAATTGCCAAAACTTTTAACGAAACAACAACAGAAACAACAATAAAGTTGAAAGGTTGGTAAGTTAACAAGTTTAAATATTCTTTGTGTTTTTGTGACATTTGTGTTCGTCCATCTCTCGTCATTAAGTCATTAAAACAAAGGGAACCGTTCCAGAAAAACTCAAAAACACTTAACTTGTGTTGTAGCAGTTGATCTTGATGAATTTGCGATTAAATGGCAAAAGCAAAACGGTGAAAAATGAATTGAAAAACAACGGAAAATGGCTTTAAGCAATGGAAATTGCGGATTACGGTAGCTAGTGCATTTAAGAATGCGTCCCCAAAATTTTTCTCTGTAAACGCTCTTGGTTCAGGTATCAATCAACGCTGAGGTGGGCACTAACACCGTTGATTAAGGTATAAAGAAAGAAAAAGAAAGACTAAGGTAGAGAAGAGAAAGTTGACAAGTCTACATTAAGTTAAGTCTTGTCTAAGTGTTTTAAATGATCTAGTATAAGTGTTTATGAGAAATATAATGCTACGGGATAAACTTAGGTTTTAGTGTTCAAATTGAATTGCAGTCTGTTTTCTGGGAAATTTAAGAGAATCTTTGAAGAAAAGTTTATTCTTTCTAATAAATGTAATATCTATTAGTGAAATAATTGTATTAAAGGGATATTTGTTTTCATTAAGTAGTGTTATAAGGTTTTTCGTGTGTGAACTAAATCTACAAGGCTGCTGCAATAACGGACAACCCTCGGGGACACTGGATTATTAAAAAAAATTGTGGGGGACCGATACTTCAATGTCGCGTGGAGGGCAATGCTGCAGTTTTCCCAGGGGGGTAATTCAGGATTTCTGGGAATGTGATCCATCGCCCCCCGCTGTTTACATTCTACCGTAAAACTCTTGATGGCGCGTTCGATCTGCATCGTGCGATCCTCCAGCGGTGAGGGGAGGGCGGGGGCTTCTTCAGTAGGGGGTGATAATGTAATTTTCCCCAATCCTGATAAAATCACCTTCAACACCCCTATGCTTGATAGATTATGGCATGCAACTAACGTATTTTTTTGGCATTATAATAGTTTTAAAATCGTAAGCGTCGATTTTATTGCATAGCTCAGTGAAGAGTTTCTCAGATTTTTTCTATCAACGAGAATGTGCACAAAAGTGTATTTCGTGGATGAAGTGCTAAAAAAGCGCAATGAAAAAGAGCTTTTTGAAAAGTGCAACCACCAAATATGTTTTTGTGTACATTCTACCGTAAATCTCTTGATGGCGCATTCTAAAACGTGCTCCTTTCGTATATTTAACTAAACTTTTTGCCACAAATTTCATTCTTTTCAATTCGTTCAGCAGGTGTATATACCTTAAATACGGTGAAAGTACCCCACCAGCCTCTAGTGCGTGCCACACGGGTGCTACTATTACAGTATTCACAGGAGCTAGTAATAGTATTTTGTTCGGGGTTTTCCTTTTATTAATTACTATTAATCTCTGCTATAATTTTTCATTTAGGGGAGATGTCGAAAAGGTCGAAAAGGTCGAAAAGGAACCAACCATTAATCCGAAAGGACTTCTTGGCACAATTGCCAAAGGAGGTTTGTTGAAACCTGTGGGAGTAATTGTTTAGTTTTAGATTGCTTATCGCATCATCGCCCATTTGACACCGCACGATTTGATGAGTTGTGCTGGCGTTTCGCGGACGTGGCAACGGATTTGTGAAGATGATCAGACATGGCGACAGAAATGTTTCGAGAACGGATATGTGGAATTTGATGCGCCAAGGTTTGTTACAGTTTTGAGCCGATAATATAACACTTAAAAATACATATCTGATAGATTTATATTAGGCTAGATTTTAAGACTTGTAAAATATAGGACAATAATGTTATTAATTCCAAAGAAAACCAAGATTTAAAGCGAGGAAAACATATGATAATGTTTGTTTAGATGAACTGGTTCATATTTAGGAAATTGTAAAAAGACTCGTCTCAAACTTTCTTTTAGTTTTCGTTTTCTCGGGGTTGGGCGGTGAAACGAGCAAATGAGCAAGCCGGAATCTGTTCACATATGGACCTTCAAGAAGCACATCAGAATCGACAAGCACGCGAGATCGCATATGGACAGTTAGTGACCGAACTTGTTGCGGAATGAATTTTTTTCTAGATGTTATGAGCGTTCGCCATGGAAGTCGCTGTACTTGCGAAAGAAGCGAATCATTTCGAATTGGCGATCCCGAGCGATTCAATCAAGCACTGTTCTAGATGTTTGAATAAATGATTTAACCGAAAAGATGCTTTTAGGATGACCTTCTGTATCAAGTCTTGTATCAGAAAAATCAGTCTGCTCGTATCATTACTAGTTTTCATGATTATAAGTTGCGGGTCTGGAATGCTGGAGATGCTCAAGTTTGTTTTGTTTAATTGTTATTGTACATCCGAATTTAGCCGGCTTTTCACTCTAAGTGGTCAGCGCGGTTCCGGTTATTCGTATCAAGGGAGCGAAGATGGCAAATACATTGTCTCGTTAAGTTAATAGCCTATAGTTAGTGCAATTCATAAGTTTTGCCAAGGAAGCTAAAAAGATTCAAACAAAGATTCTTATGACAACAAAGTCTATTGTAAGATTTCAGTAGCGAGTCTGATGGAACAGTGCGCGTTTTGTGTGGTAAAACTGGTGCAGAGCTTCATTTTTTGACGGATTTGATTCTATGCATGAGTCTACATGGCACAACGTGAGTGATCTGAATTTTGTGTTATAGCTAAGATCATAATGTTTTAGTCTTGTTTCTGGATCATCGGATCTAACACTTCGAGTCTGGGACATTGTCGACGGGAAATGCCTTCACATTTTGGCTATCGAGGCGGAGGTATGTGTATTAAAGTTATCGCTTAAACAAAGTTAACTTTCAGGCGTATTTGTGAAATTTGATGGAAAACGGGTTGTATTTATCGGCCATGGATTTACCGTAAACGTTTGTACAGTTACTAGTCCAATTTATAATATTCTATTAGGTTTGGATTATACACACGGAAGAGTGTTTGCACACGCTGACGGGCCACGGGGCCAGTCGATTCACTTTTGGTGAGTTGAGTTGTCGAATTTTGGCTTTAATCAGGATTCTATTTTAGTTTGAGCCAGAGCGCGGTCTTGTCGTGTCGGGTAGTAGTGATGACGGAACGATTCGCGTCTGGGATGTGCAAAGAGGAAGTGAGTTTTACTTGTTACTATTCTGTTACATGTCATCTATATTTGTTTCTTTCAGCATGCATCGCACTTATTGGCTGTCGTCACAATTTAAGGTACACAGGTAACTTTGGGATGCAGCTTCGCGGAAACAATTTGGCCTGCTATTACGCCTCGGAAGTTAAGGTATGTTTAATCAATCCTATGCAAACTACTTCCATTTCTTTAGGTTTGGGACATTCGTGAGGGTGGCTCATGCCTTCACCACTTGCATGGCGGAAATGGTCAGACGTCGACCATCACTTCATTGCAATTGCTCGACTCCGGACTTTTGGTGACAGGTTCGAGGAATGGCTCGGTGAAGCTGTGGGATGTGAAGAAAGGTATGCGGTTTTAAATTACCTAATGCTATCTGCAATAAGATCCAGACTGCAAGCCGGGATTTAAAGTAGAACTTATTAACTACACAACTTGGCTTGTCAACTATTGAAGCTTCAATCTATGACAAAGTCTAGTGTCTTATTAATTTTTTTCATTTTAAGGTACCTTCGTTCGTGATCTCGTTCGATCTCGTTGGGGTGACCCTGGCCGTTATTATTGTAATCTCAAAGCCTCTGAAACATTACTCGTATGTGGAGTTCGATCGGTAGAGGAGGCAAAGCTCATCTTGATCGATCTTGACGCATCATATCCATAGGTATATTTGTATTTTTGCTATTTCCCTATTGTGGTTTTCTGAAGAATTCTGTCGGTTTTTCCATTCTTCTGAACTTTCATTGCTTGTGGTTTGATTAGATTAGATTTAGATTTTGATCTTCCAATGATTACCGATAATTTACACACTTCTATGCCATACTCTTGATTTTGTGAACCTTTTTTCCATTAACCTGCTGTTAGTCATTGACCTTCTCGAATGTTTCAGAATCGTCAAGTGCAAACCGTCTTTCAAAGTTACTATTCTTTCGAATTAGTTGGTTGGTTGCTGTCAACGTTTGATTATTTTTAGTCCGTATCGAGTCCTGTGATTCTTTATTTGCTCGATTTTTCAAGATTGAAGAATCTATACCTCACCGATTTAAATCTAAATAAACTGCACAAGCAACTGATATTGGCAAAAAAAGCAAAAGCAAAAAAACCAGGTCAACTGCCAGACTCCTTCAATGAATTCGATTCTGCAGATGAAAATTTTCACTCCGACAAAAGCTCTGGCTTTAGGCCTACAGTTTTCTAATGTACGGTGTGCTGTTTGACTTTTGATTGTTCACAGGTTTCAATTAACAGAATCCTGCTTACCATTTTGCTACACGAAACTCTAACAAGGAAAGTGCACCCGTTTAAGGTGAACTTTAGGATCGAGATCCAAACCATTCTTTTTGCGCTATATAAACCAAACCATATGCGATCTCGCGTGCTTGCCGATTCTGCTGTGCTTCTTGAAGGTCCATATGTGAACTGATTGTGATTCCCGCTAGCTCATTTGCTCGGTTCGCCGCCCAACCTCCGAGAAAACGAAAACTGAAAAAAGTTTGAGACTAGTCTTTTTACAAAGTCCCCGAACAAAATACTAGTATTACTAGCTACCGTAAATACGGTAATAGCACTCCACGCGTGTGGCACGCACTAGAGGAGGATCAGGTACTATTAAAGTATTTACGGTATATAGAGCTGCTAAACGAATTGAAAAGAATGAAATTTATGGCAAAAGTCTCCTTAATTATACGAAAGGGCCAGGTTTTAGAATGCGTCATCAAGAGGTTTACGGTAGAATGTGCACTAACCCATTTTTGGGTGGTTCCACTTTTCAAAAATTTCATTACCCTTTTTGGCGCTTCACCCACGAAATACCCTTTTATGCACATACTCGTAGGTAAGGTGAAGTTTATACTAATACTCAAAAACCTTTGCGACTACGCGACTGTACGAGGTTGGATAACTGACTTGTCAGGGCTTGTCAAAACTTGTCAACTTTCTCTTCTCTACCGTAGTCTTTCTTTTTTTTCTTTCTTTATACCGTAATCAAGTGTGTAAGTGCCCACTTTCGGCGTTGATTGTTGCACGAACGCAAGAGCGTTTACAGAGAAAATTTTGGGGCGCATCCCGTCGAATCTCGGGGTGCCGAAGTGACGCTGTTCAACGCGAAGATCGAGGAGAAGAACGGTCAGATTGTGGCATTCGTATCACCGTTGATCGTGAAGTCGTAAGATTTATGGAGAATTGCTGAGCACTCTGTGAATATTTTTCTTTGAATTTATCAAAGAAAATCTTTCGTTGATGAAAGAAAATGTGTTGCTCTCAGTGTTTCACGAGAATTGGCAGAGTTTCGTGGATTGTGTGAAACTCTTCGTGAGGATCAATCTTTTCAATGAAAAACTTCGCATTGCTTTCTGTGGGAATCCAGCGAGGAGGGAGGATCTGAGATACGAGCAACCCACTGCTATCTTCCTTCAAGCTCGTTGCGCGCTTGTTGAGAAGAAAGTATTTGGAGAGTAGCACGAAATGCTTGTCTTTCATCGGCCTCCACACGCTTTTCGCTTCCAAATTAAAATGTTCCATGATTTGTGTCCCTGCAAAATGTTTGCCTCTTTGAGATAAACATGTGATTTGTACTTATTTCTTGGGTAAGATTTTAAACTATTCGCTAATTAGATAAATTTAATTAAAGATAAACTTATTGGTTACTCTATCGGTGTAACATTATACTTTCCTTAAAAAGTGCCAATTTACACTACAGTACAATGTTACAGACAGTCAGAAAGCCAGACAGCTTCAAAAAGGTATGCTGTTCTTGGTTGTTGTCCGACTTAAAGAAGATTTCTACACTTCTCTTCGCATAAACTATCTACCATTCAAGCCAACTATTTCCATTCACTTTTCTACACTTCTCTTCTTTTCAGTTAGACTTTTTTTTACCTGCGAATCGCTCTTTATCCTTTGTTTTTGTTTTGTAATTAATTTAATCACTCTTTGGTAATCATCCATCTGTCGAATTTAAGGGGTTTAAACTGATTTATCTAACTTGTTTTTGATGTTTTGCGGTCTGCTGATGGAACCTGGTCTTGTTTTCTTGCAAAAGTGGATGGAAAAGCCTAAAATAGCTAGAAACAAGAAAAAGAATATAACATTTCTCTAGTGAACGTCTCTCGTGCTTCCTCTCCCAATCTCACTTCTCCGTGACTTTATTTACCGATCAAGATCTCCATTTTCAAGCAGGCAACGCATTCTTTCACAGGCTCCCGTCATTTGAATGATTGTCGAAGAGAAACGAAAGCTTAGGTTGTCGTAAAAATTCCTCTCATCAACGATAAAAATTACGTCATCGTATTGATTATTCGTATTGATTCCTGGCGATTATTAGAACATTCTCATCGTTTTGAAATTGCTTCGGGATGCGAATGATGGGCCTGAAATTGTCGAAAATTATCAATTGGAGAATCAAGTATGATTTGGGAGCCGCGAGTGATCGTTGAAGTCTGTGATCTGTCGACGATCAACGATTTGAAAGATGTACGTGTAATTTGACGATCGATCTTTGTCTAGCTCCTAAGAATTACGATCTGTTGGACTTAATCTGTGATTTTCTTTTTCTCTTTCCCTTCCCCTTTTCCCCTTTTTTCTTCAGACAATGATGCCCCTTTGTGATGACACGAGAATCGGTGATACGCAAGAGAATTGCACTCATAAATTTTCACTTCTAATCACTCATAAATTCTATCATATTTTACGCATCTCGAAAAAAACTTCAATCTTGAAAAATCGAGCAAATAAAGAATCACAGGACTCAATACGGACTAAAAATAATCAAATGTTGACAGCAACCAACCAACGAATTCGAAGGAATAGTATCTTTGAAAGACGGTTTGCACTTGACGATTCTGAAACATTCAAGAAGGTCAATGACTAACAGCAGGTTAATGGAAAGAAAGGTTCAAAAAATCAAGACTATGGCATACAACTGTATAAAATGTAGGTAATCATTGAAAGGAACAAGCATTGAAAGTTCAGAAGAATGGAAAAACCAACAGAATTCTTCGGAAAATCACAATAAGGCCTAGACGAGAGCAAAGATAGAAATATACCTAATATACCACCCTGCAGTCTGGATCTTATTGCCTATAGTATTAGGTAATTTACAACATCATACCCTTATTCACATCCCACAGCTTGACCGAGCCATTCATCGAACCTGTCACCAAAAGTCCGGAGTCGAGCAATTGCAATGAAGTGATGGTCGACGTCTGACCATTTCCGCCATGCAAGTGGTGAAGGCATGAACCACCCTCACGAATGTCCCAAACCTAAATAAAAGGAAGTAGTTTTGATAGGATTGATTAAACATACCCAAATGTCCGAGTCGTAACAGCGGACCAAAATGTTTCCGTGAAGCTGCATCTCAAAGTGAATTGGGAACCCTAACTCTTGAAGACAAACAAGATGTGCGATGCATGCTGAAAGAAACAAATATAGATGACATTGTAACAGAATAGTGAAAAAGTAAAACCCACTTCCTTTTTGCACATCCCAGACGCGAATCGTTCCTTCCCGACAACCCCACACGACAAGATCGCGCTCTGGCTCAAACTAAAACTGAATCCTGATTAAAGCCAAAAATTGACAACTCAACTCACCAAAAGAGAATTGATACCTTCCGTGTGACCCGTCAACATGTGCAAGCACTCCCCCGTGTGTACATTCCAAACCTAATAGAATATTATAAATTGCACTAATAACTGTACAAACCTTTACGGTACAATCACGGCCATCAAATACAACCCGTTCTCCATCAAATTTCACAAAATTCTAAAATTTAGCTCTGTTCAAGCCATAACTTTAATACACATACCATATACCACGCCTCGCCAGCCAAAATGTGAAGGCATTTCCCGTCGACAATGTCCCAAACTCGGAGTGTTTGATCGTGCGATCCAGAAACAAGACTAAAACATTAGGATCCTAGCCAAAACAGAAAATTCAGATCACTCACGTTTGCCATGTAGACTCATCCATGGAATATGATCCGTATGACCCTGCAAAACATGAAGCTGTGCACCGGTTTGACCACACCAAACGCGCACCGTTTCATCAAACCCACTACTGAAATATTACAATAGACTTTGTTGTCATAAGAATTTTTGCTTGAATCTCTTTAGCTTCATTGGCAACACTTATGAATTACACTAGCTATAGTCTATTAACCAACCTGACAATGTATTTGCCATCTTCGCTCACTTGATACCACCAAGGGGGACTCTGATGACCATTTAGAGTAAAAGCCGGCTAAATTCGGACGTGGAATAATAATTAAACAAAATAAACTTGAGGATCATCAACATTCCAGACCCGCAACTTATAATCCTGAGTACCAGCAATGATACGACCAGAATGAATTTGTAGACGAATGGGGTATTTAAAGTCATCCTAAAAACCATTTTTTCGGTCAAACCATTTATTCAAACCTCTAGAACAGTGCTTGATTGAATCGCTCGAGATCGCCAATTCGAAATGATTCGCTTCTTTCGCAAGTACAGCGACTTCCATGGCAAACGTTCATAACATCTAGCAAAAACTTCATTTCGCAACAAGTTAGGTCACTAACTGTCCATATGCGATCTCGCGTGCTTGTCGATTATGCTGTGCTTCTTGAAGGTAAATGTGTGAACTGATTGTGATTCCCGCTTGCTCATTTGCTCGATTCGT